TCTTTTATTACTAGTGGGTTTTGGCGGACATTTTCCACTTAAAGAAAACTTCCTGAATGACGGGAATCTTCAGAAAGATTTATAAATATTTCTCTTCAACTGCAACAAGTGTTTCTTTATGAAAGCCATTGACTTCTACAGGAACTTGACATAAAATACGGTGAAATATGCAAACAATGAAAACTGCTTTTCTAAGTGTGTACAGTAATGGAGATCTCCTCTTCAAAATATAAAAGCAGAAGAACTGCAAGATGTTGATATTTGATATCACCCTCTGAAGAACACTTATCAGCATGGAATCTTAAGCTGCATCACAGAGTAGTACAAGGATTAAGACATATTTAGAGGCTGTTCAATGTCATCAGCCCAAGTGATTCCACAGTTTGAAAGTGTTTTTCCCCCCCCCCCCCATTGGTTGTTGTTGTTGTTGTTGTGATTGTTTTATGTGTGTTTTGAAGAAGCATTTAAACAACTTTGTGCTTCTGGTGTTTTGTTTAAAATAAAAGCCGGGCATGAAAGGATCTCCTATTGACATGAGTATTGTAATTTAAAAATTAAAGCCATATTCATGTAAGTGTATTGAGTCATTTTGTCTGGATTACTTAAATTGTTGTTTGGATAATTTCATTTGTAGAGCAGTGCTGATGGTCATTCAAAAAGTAAATTGTAAGGAATGTAGTTTTGATCATGTTTGCCATCTAGCATTCTACCCGATTCAAACATTTTCCTTCTTTTGATTGAGTGTATCTAATTGATGATCATGAGCATATACGAACCTTCTTCTCCAAGATCTCAGTATTGATTCTTACCATCTGACATTTTTGTATTGTTATCATATCTGACTTACTGGTAATCCTCAATATACTGGTATCATAAGGGTAAGTCTCTTATTGGTCTTTTCTAAGTGTTTGGATTAGGATCCTGTGGTAACAAAAGGCTTGCAAATTCCATATCATTTTCACAGGCTTATTAAATCAGAGAAGGCCTTCTTAACTCTTTGACGTCATAGAATGACTGCATCTAATTTCTCTTAACAATGTCACCCCTGAATCAAACATTAAGGTCATGAGAAAAGAGGAAATGATCACTAAGTAAAGAAACTCTTGATTGTTAAATGAATTCTCCTTGACAGCACCTGAGGAATATAAAGGGATGGAATGTAGAATGTGCACACTGATGTTTGATGTAAGGCTTGAGACCAGCTTGAGGAAGTAGGGGCAACCTCTGACTATTGGGATTCCTCTCTATAGGCCACCTCCCTGTACCTCGTTCAATATGGTGCTAATCGGCGGCGAAAACAGCTGACGGTAGTGTCAGCGCTCGATGGCTGGCTTGGAAAAAAAAAACCTTGCGTGCACCATTAATCAGTGGGTTTACAAGAATCAATAATTCAGAGATCGAGCTCTGGTTAAGTTGAATGAAGCAGCTTCTCAGTTGTGAAGCGTTAGATGCTCAACCTACTGAAGCAAGCGTGTAACATTGAGGATATGGATTTGAATAACAGTGGGTAAGCCTTTAAGACTATTGTGGTTCAGAGAGATGCACAAACTCTAGCCCTTTGTCGAGTTTCAGTTCTCTTATTTCTTGTAAATGTTAGAAGATTTCAGAATTGAGTTAACCCTTTAACTCCCATGAGTGATGAAGACACAATTTCTCCTTACAATATCAATACAATTCCAAGCATACAAGTAACCAGAATAAAGGGAAATATCGGTTAGTGGTTTATTAGTTGATTGAACTCGAAATTCTCCAAACTAACATTATAAGAATTGTTAGGGGACAGTCAGGAGAAAAACTAATGAGATGTTGGGAGTTATAGGGTTAAGTGTAAATCATGAGTTGGCATTATTAGGCTCCTGTGGTTGTAGTTCTTTGTGATACCACAGAATCACCACCCAACGATTTATATTACTCATGTTGATATGTTTCTTTTACATTTTGTAAACAAGGAATGCTTTAGAAGTTAACCCTCAATCGATACTTAATAATTTTTAAGAATAAATTAAAGGAATTTTTTAAGCAAATTTTCAAAAGCCAACCGTTGAGATTACACTCCCTGACCTCCATGCAGAAGTGGTTTGATCTCAGCATGATTTTTCTGTTAAAGCAGTCGCCTACTGACTCACTGACCTATAGATCATCACTTCCTAAACTAGAAGTGTCTCTAGAATCTTGTGAGTGATTGACTGACATTTATTGCCTCATGTCAAGATGGTATTTCTAGATTGGCGTACTGCGTGACGATCTAAAGAATTGTCAATCAATACTATCGACTGTCTAAAATTATAAGGTGACTGCATGTTATTCGAATATTTGTTTTGCTAAGAATTAGCTGGGATTTTGCTGAAAATTTCACGGGCAAAGTAAAAAGTGGGAGGGACCAAAATGACAACGTTACTCGCCAGACTGCATTGGCGCAATCAACTTATTGTTTGTTACTGATTAATATTTGGTGAAATTGAAATCAATTTACGAAGCAAAGGAGATTTTAATGATTGATCGGTTTACAATCTGAACTAAAACATTTTAATTCAAAAGATTAGACTAACTTAATAAAATTGACATAAATTGACAATCGCTTTGGAATACTTTCCAAAAGTTTGACAATGAAGATTCTGTCCGCTTACTCGGGAGCGCGGTCCTGTTTTGCCTTGGGGCTGTACGGAACGATCTGGTAACGAGCACTGTGGAATGTGCGGGGTCTGGTACTGTCATTGCTTGTCAGATAAGGACACGTGAACTTGATATAAAAAATCAGACACAATGTGGCAAAAACACTCAAAACGTTTGACATCAACGTCACTTCCGCCATAAACTGTATCAAGTCGGTGAGAGAACACTGCGCTAACCTGGCCAGGAACGTAGCTGCAAACACTTTTACCAAATGAATGCTGGTATTGTTTGTCACCATTGCATGCAGCTGGCTGGTGAAACAAAACTGCGAATGTAATTTTGGGATTGTAATGGCTTAAGCATGGTGGAAAAGTCTGGAGACGCCTAAACTTAATACGAGAAAGCTCTCATTTTGAAAAATAAATTGTTGAAATGAGAGCATGCAGTGATGGTATCCGTTAGATTAACAAGAGGCAGGCAAAGAAAATTTACCGTCATTTGATAACCTGCTATTCAATAGACTACAAAAAGAGGAATCATACGATGCAAGACATAAATAATTAGAAATTTAGGAGAGTTTTCTCCCATTTCAGCCGTCATTACAATATTTGATGGTGAAATTCGTCCTTTAAATTTTGATTGTACTTCAAGGCTAAGCATATTGATTTAAAAACTACTATAGTTTGATGAAAATGTAAGTAAAATTGCGAATAACAAGTAAACAATGAGTTGATTGTGATATGTGCGACATACCTAACACCAGGTAGATTCGAGATTTCAGAACTTAAATTCGTGCACAGGCGGCTAGGAACTACTGCATTCACTGTTAAACGACAGTTTCTCCGCCAGACGCTTCAGAAATATCGACGAATAATATTCATGGCTTAAGATGAAGGATTTCCAGAAACAATCGTATGCGGATGCATTGGAGTTTCGTTTATCATGTTAGAAAGAAAGACTAATGACGCATTTCCTTCTAAGGGAGAATAGTTCTTTTATTTTTTTCTCGTACAAAAACAAACATATTTTCTCCAGTTTTGACGGAAAACGGCTAAAGCTTGAATTCGAATTTACATCTCCGCTGAGTTTCATACTTAGACGAGCTACCATTGGTAACCATCATGATAAAAAAATAATATCTAAATTCGTAACATCGTGCCAAGGAATTTCCAGGAATCAGTGGACGGAATTAAATAAGGTTGCATGCAACAAATTGAACAGAAAGGAATCAGTTGAAATAATATGTAAAAAGATGTGCCTAGCTCTAGGATAATATTTTTTTCAGATAAATGCTCCCTCGTAATTTTTTTATTGCGACCATAACAGTGTTCTTTGTGCTTTGGAAATCAACCCAAGATGTACGCTTTCACCACTGGTAGCCCAAGCTTACAAAATGAACCTCCGTATAACATGCAAATATGTTTTGCTTGCTCAATGGCCGAAATGAAAGGACCTGTATGAGAAGAAACGGTTCCTTTCTCAATCTAGAAAATCTGAACTAGTTTTAAATAAAACCAAACTTGCCTTGCTAAAGAGATTGTTCCTTTGCATCGAGCGAGTTTCTTGGGCTGATTTAGGGCCGATTTTGGACAGTAGCGTCCGATTTTCGACACTAGTGTTTGATTTTAGTCACTAGTGTCTAATTTTAGGCACAACTTCTCGATTTTGGACAGTAGAGTCCGATTTTGGACACTAAAGTCCGATTTTAGGAACTAGTCTCCAATTTTGGACACCTGTGTTTGAATTCGGACACTGGTGACTAAACTCTGACGTCAGTTTTTAAAATCGGACTATAGTGTGCAAATTTTTTTGTTTTTATATCACTCAATATTATCCTTTCTATAAAGCAAAGTGTAAGGTGAATAATGTCGATATAACTAAAAAACAGATACCCAGTTTGCTATATTCCAACTTGTCGCTCTTTGAAGTATAAAATCAATCCCTTTCCAGTCCGTGTTTGTCTTGTGAGTGTGAATTCATGTGGCTACCTCATAAAGCACACGAATTAAAACACTCTCAACTCGGTTCCATAAAAAAGCATAAGTCCGGCCTCTAGATATGGGTGCTAAGTCTACCAACAGGATTACCTAAACTGAGTACGATTCCTGTTTTTAAAGGTGGTTTTCTTCGATAACTTGCAAATTTTAATCTCTAGCTAGGTTTCTCAGTTGAGTGTTAAAAAACTAAAATTCAAAGTTCCTCTTTCCTCCTTCGCAAATGTTGTTAAGCTCGTCACGTCACGTAATCGTTCCACCCCAACAATGTTTTTGTGAGGGGGCTAGGGAATGATTGCGTGACATGCGAGCCTCATGACGTCTGCGCAGAAGGCCAAAGTTTCGCAAGAGCTGGTCGAGATAAAGTAAAGACAAAATAAATACTCGAATTGCTTGAAGAAGCGTGTGTCCGAGTCACGTTTCTTTAGCTTTGCTTCCGATTGATTCCAGTGAAAATACGAATTTCCTAGTCTAATCACAATAGTTTATGGCAGACCAATCATTTTAGAATGAACACTTCACCCATCTGTAAATCGCAGCACAAAATGCGTCCATCAGGCGCTGTGGTTAAAGCCGTGGGATATTGCAGCTTACACACAGTTTTGCCAGTGAACTCACCTTCCATTGTGAACTGTTGAATACGACCATTATTTCCGTCACAGACAAGAAGATTCTGATGATCGCTATATTTCTCAATACACAAACCCCATGGAGAGCACATCTGCCCATCAGCCTCCCCTTTCTCTCCAATCCTTTTTAGAAACGTCCCTGAACTGTCAAACACTTTCAAACAGTTGTTCCAGGCATCAGAGACAATGAATCTGCCTCTGTGAAAGACACACCCAAAGGGATGATCAAGCTTTCCTAAGCCGTAGTCTCCAAATTTAAGCACTGGCTCACCATCTTGTGTCAAGACCTGGATTCTGTTGTTGAAGCAGTCGGCCACAATAACATGTCCTTCGTCATCCATACAAACACTTGCTGGGTTTTTAAACTCTCCTTCTCCTGTTCCTTCTCCTCCAAAGCTTCGTACAAAGGTACCTGTTGACAGAATGGAAATTTTACGGATTAAGCCGACTTCCTATTTCAGAATCTACTTTCTCTTCAATTATGCCTTTTTTAAAGCAATTGAAATGTTTACTTTAAGCTGATTTTATTCGTCAAGCGCAAACCTAAAAATGCATCGTTCCAATTGTCTTAGACATGTTTTTGGACATACATCAGTAATACAGGAAATTCCAAATATTTGTCTCCGGTGCGACCTCGGTCTTACATAGAATGCAGATGTAGCAAACATACATATTTGGTATTCGAAGCTTACTACACTTCATTTTGGGGCAAAATCTTTACACCTACCTATCTTTACATTGAACTGTTGAACGCGGTGATTCAGTGCATCTGCTACCAGAATCTCGTCATCATTCAGGAACGTTACTCCAACGGGACTGCTCATTTGTCCAGGTTTCTTTCCATAGCAGCCGAGTGTTCTCAGGAAATCTCCTTTTTCGCCGAATATAAAGATACAGTGTTTGTGGATATCAGCAACAGCGATTAGTCCCTGGCTGTTGACGGCAATTCCAATGGGCTGTTTAGGAATTTCTCCCTTCAATTCTAATTTACTGATAACATCCATCTGTCGTTCTTTCGCTTGTACAGTAAAATGACTGTCAACAAGCTTCTCGCCATCTATGAAGATGTCGTAGGTGCCTGGTACCACAGGAATAAACTTGACGTGAAAATTGCCGTCGTCTCCTTTATAAATACCGACGATTTGCACTTTTTCAGCGGGTTCCAAACTCACTTCTACGTGAAATTCTTGGTTCGGGTTATCCTGCACGGGATGAACCACGACATCTGCTTCTAAACCAGCTCGAATATCTAAGTTTTCAGTCGATAACTCCATCTGATATCTGATTGACTTGAAATTGACTTGAATCTCAGTATCTCTGCTTTTTATCGCGCCTAGTGTTGAAATTTAACAGTATCAATTGCAAAATAGTTTTTAAAACATTATAGTCGTTATCGGAAGCGATGGAAATGCTGTTTATGGAACCAAGGGATCACCTTTGTTTGATCATAAGATCACATCATTGTCTGTATGATAATCACGCCTTGGTCACAGGGGTGACTGAACAGTCAACTCTCTCGTAAGTGGACAGCTTTATTTACGGACACTTTTTCAATTCTCCTTTTTTGACTCCCAGTCAAGCTCGGTATTTACACATTCTTGCAAATGGTCACTCTCTCGTAAGCGGACCCGGACACCTTTGAAAGTGAAAATTGGATTTTTTTTTGTAGTTCATGACGAGCTTTGCGTCGGAAAAAAATATTATGCAAATTAGCTGGCTGCACATTCAATGTCCAGACAGCTAATTTGCGTAAGTAATTCAAGCCAATGCTCAAGGACAACTGATGGTCTCCCCATTCGGTCTACAAGCTTCGGCGCAACGCAATTATTCTTATAATGACCTTTCATGTGCGAAGGTTTCAGTTTGGAACGGCATTTTTAGCTTTTCCGAAGACATCAGTCTTGCCAAAATCGACTATTACAGGGGAGAAGCTGGTCTAAAACATCGTTATAGCATTTTAGGTCATTTGGAACAAATTCACATTATGAATATCGTCTTACGCGACTGCCGAATTAAGAGGGATAAGAAAAGGTTAAAAATAACCCCAGGAGAGACTAAGAATAACCCTCAGGTATACACTACCCAAGAGGGTATGTAAGAGATTAAAATAACCCTCAGGTATACACTACCCAAGAGGGCACGAAAAATTGAATTCACACTAATTTATATCAGGAGACCGCTCTTTGTCTGGACTCTTTCTTTTGACTGAAAGTTAAGGCATCCACCATTAACTTATATAATTCTTATCCTGTACTAGATCCCGAATGTCTTTGTCAAGCTCGGATATTCTTGACTGACATCATTGCAATTTCCCATGATATTTCGACTGGAGACATTTCCCGCCTAAAGTGTACGGTCGAGGACGATTTGATTTACTGCATCAGCAACAAGATTATGTTTTGAGACCTCGCGAATCCATCTGCTGGATTTCTCCCTGTCTAATTAGTCCGGCACGGAGACCAATCGAAGATATAACATGCATGTTGTTTGGTTACCTGGTGTTGAACGAACAGCCTTTGTTGGCGAGCTTGAGACCTGCTGGCGGGACAGAACGTATTGTAGTCATTGCGGAATCGATGAAACAATTCGTTCTTTGCAAAAGCTTTCGGCCTGATTTCACACTAACTTTTCGTTAGCACATACCAGTACTTTTTGGGGTCGAGATTGGATCCCGTAACTATCGAAAGCTCAGCCGATCGATCGAAGACTTCGGCCTCCATGATAAGATCGCGCCGAGTGATTTCAATGCCAGATTTCTTGTGTTTTCATGATTGAAATTCGAGCATAGATGAAGTATTAATTATTAGGTGAACCTTTAACTTATAATCAACAGGTTTAAGTAGCCGCATAGACACCTACCGACCGCAAACGTTGATGTCATTCTCTGCACTGATGACAGAAATATAGCGCCTCTGTAGAATGCATGCTGCGAATTTTTTTCGGGGCCAAAGCTCCTCATGACTCCCTCGTAAGCGGACATCCCATGCAAAAAAACTGATTTTTGGCGATTAAATTTTTCGTAAAGAAACAGGGTTGACAGGGTAAGAGAATAGTAGAAATCAAGAGTCTCCATGACGTGCTTTGCCCACCAAAAAGATTTATGCGAGGTCCGCTTGGCAATTATTAACTATAAGAGAAGAACTGAGTTCGCGCTCCTAGTACGATCGAGGTGTTGGGGATGAATTTTCGGCAATTACTTTTTTGGCACTTTTTGGCGAGAGTAAACCAAAACATTTAAGTTGTGCTTTCTCGTCATAATATAAATGTTTTCCAGATACGGATTGGAGGTATGATGTTAATATTTGGTTAAGGACACATGTTAATGTAAAGCGCAGAATGTAAGCCAAATAAATTTTACAGTTTAACTCAATGATCGGAATTTTTTTTTTTTACGAAGGATAAAAAAGGATCGACGCCCACCAAGAGCGTCGGATTCACTCGCGTGGAGTCAACCATTTTCTCTAAAAAAATAAAGGTTATTCCCTCACTGAAATAAGACAGGTATATGGGCGGCCATGTCAAAGCCAAAAATACAGGCACAATAATTAGTTTTTAATAAACAGAAATGGTCTAGTTGTCTTTTGGAGAACGGTTTATCTTATCTCAAGAGCTTTATTTAAAATAGAAATGAGCAAATCGCCCTGGGTGAAATAAAATATTCAAACAAAAAATGGTTTATACAATTCAGAAACTTTGTAGCCACCCTTGCTGAACTGATTCCATAAAAACACGATTGGCCAAGTGTTAACTGAAATGGTTCAATGTCGAAATGACAGACAGTTCAGCTAACTGTACTTTGACTCAGTGACTTGACACAAACGGTTCAGAGTAGTGTGAAATGGCTTAAGTTATCAGCAAATGGTTAATCGTAAGCCGCAATGGTTTAGTATCGCATCAATCTACTCACCGTGTTTACTTACTCGGAACTGGTTCGGAACTACGCGGGCGCAAATAAACAATATTCCCTCAAAAAGTCATGTTATTCCCTTATTAGAACAAACGCAAATCAAGTATTTATCTCGTAACTAAATTTAAAAACTTCAATAGAAACTTACTTCTGTGGCGGGTCGTTACAACAGTCTCACTTTATGGGTTAGCAAATTCTCCAGGTAAGCGGATTTAGAGACAGAAAAACGATAACAAAATAACTTCTTTCTCACTTCGATTCTGCTGAAAAACTGACTTGAAACAGAATAATCTAACGCTTTCAATTTATTGAAATTAATGCTAACCACGATTCTTGTCATCGAATAAATCTGTCAACACGAGGCAACGCCTATTTATTAAACGAAACTTACCGTAAAGTGAAATGGTTTAACGTGACGACAAATGGTTTAGTACCAACCGAAATGGTTTAGTGTTACAGCAGCTGGTTTAAGCTGTAACCGCCAAAAATACAAAAGTGAAATGGATAAGTCAAACTTGAAATGGAATAGTCTATGTAGGGTCTTACGTCACAACTCTTACGTCATTCAGATCGAATTTGACGCGAAACTATAGTGAAAACTGCTGCACTTTAAATGAATAATTCTTACCGTGGTTACGCGTTACCATGGTGAGAATTCCCCATTTTACTACCTCAATATTAAATAAGAATTTGAAACAAAAGGAATGACAAAAATACTCATGAAATCCATCATTTTACGCGACAGCACATTTACAGTCTAGATAGTAAGAACCATAGCTAGGAAACGTGATAAAGCGATTCATTGTTTTAAGACGACGAAACTACAACTAAAGGGCGCCCAAAAACTATAAAAACTAAAGGGCCTAAAATCGGACTTTAGTGTCCAAAGTTTTGTCTAAAATCAGACACCGGTGACTAAAATCAAACGCTAGTGTCTAAAATCGCACCCTTGTGTCGAAAATCGGACGTTACTGTCTAAAATCGGCCCTAAATCAGCCCAAGAAATTCACACGATGCAAAGGAACAACAAATTGAGCTAAGTGAGATGATTTCTACTCAAACCTAGGTCAGATTTTTTAGTTTGAGAGTGCGACCATTCATTCCCATACACATCCTTATATTTCGCTCATTGCGCAACGTAAAACATATGCGCATAACAGAAGCAAATGTGCGAGCATGGGCTACCTGTGGTTGGACGTCAAGGACGCTGAAAATATGATTTCTTTTACGTGACATTCTTCATAAGTTAAAATGGAATCTCACTCTTGTTTATATTTTTAATATTATTTCTAACTATAAAAAATTTTATAACTTTTCTCTGGACCAAAAAAAAACATGGATTACGCAGGCCCTAGAGGTTCTACTGTCTACGGTTTTTAAACCCCAGTATCTGCAATCACAGGTAAGTAATCCCAGTATCCGTAAGATTGCCAAGAACGATTAACGTAGACCCTCAGGGGTGCACTCGGTTCATACATCATGACCTCGAGCCGAATATTTTCCTGTCTGGCCCGGGAATAAGTACCTGCCCTTGTGTTCACACGCACGGCCTTATAAACTGCAAAGAGCCAATCAGCAGGTGAACTGCAAAAGCATCCAAGACTTTTGCCCAGTTTTTGAGGGAAAAGCAAAGGGAAATAGTTTGAACGCGCTAATAGCCATTCCATTGCACAGTGATAAAATGGAAAATCAAATTAATAACAAAGAAAAAAATCGTAACGAACAAAAATGTATTTTTATTATAAACTTTTCAAAGTGAAATTACAAAAACCAATTTTCCCGACGAGGTCACTATCACGCTACTTGTACCAAAATGCCATATGTACATGGTCAAGAGCCCAATTAATGGGCTTCTGACATGGTTTTTTATCTATTTGTTTTATATTAGGATCACATTAGGGGGCTGGAAGAAGTTACGTCGCAGCTTTTGCAACTCAAAAGTTTAGCCTCAAGTTTAAAATTCTTCATCCTTGGTCACCATCGTTTATCGTTGGTTTTTCCTTCACTTTTTAAAGTTTTTGTTTCATACCAAACTAATATTTTTCTGGTTTCTTTCATGTTTTTCCAAAACCTCGTACCTGGCCTCGTAAAATACCTCGTAAAATGGCTAAAAGTTTTTTGATGTAGCTTCAATGAGCAATCACACCTGCGACTAAACATTAACAAACCCTCCATCAAACCTGGAAATTTTGTGATTGGCCACACCCGTTGCACGTGTCCCATGACGTTAGGCCCCTTCTTATTTTCAAATTTGAGAATAGACACTTCTCTATCAGGGGTTCACATCTTCAGAAAAAGGTCGAATGTACTTATTTAGTTTCACATTTGTATAGCTATTTTTTTTAATCCCGTTTCGTACTTTTGTAATGTTAGTGTTGTTTCTCATTCGGTTCAAATATTCATATTAAAAAAGGAAAATCCGAGCTTGTCGCGGACAGAAAACCTATTGCGTTTCGCTGCACTGTGTTAGTGCCTCATTTTTCCTCCTACAATCTACTTACCTTTCAAACTACTGCTATTTACATTTATTCATACTCATATGTAAAACGATCTCCCAAGTGTAAGAAAACATGAAATGGAAGACGATATAACTTTCTGTGAATGATCGCGTGACCTTAGCTAGGATGACCCTCTTTTTCTCGTACTATTTTTTTTTTTCGGTATTTAAAAAAATGTTATTTGTTCGGGAACTAAGGCAATCACCAGAGTGACGCCGATTACAAAATTAGCTCGCATTTGTCTCGCTGTCTCTAATGGCGCCAGCTCCCTTGCAAGCCGCCGTGAAGGCAGATTTGAGTTTTAATGAGAGACGATGACGGTGTCTGTGGTTTTGCCTGAGTTCCCTCATAAGTAATTGTGATGACTAAGGATATTTCCGCGGTACCATTCAAAGAGATTAACAGATTGATGCAATCATCAATTTCAGTTCAAATCCTAACAGGATTTTTTTAAATTTCGAGGATAAGTTGTCTTCTTCTTGAACCGCCATCTATTTCTGCATCATTGGTAGGTAAAGTAGACTCTGTCGGCTGTTGCTTGGCTACAAATTCTTTGGCGGGCAAAGTATCTTGATTTAAGTCTCTATACTGGCTTATGTCTCTGTATTCGACAGCAGCTGGAGGGCCTGAATCTAAGTTTAGAGTACCATCAAGTATCTGACGATCTGGTGGTTCTGACACGACTATTCGTTGGAGTTTTCTGTAAGGTCTCTCCCGGAGATTAGGGCTCTCCAGTAGATCCTTGAGAGAAAATCTCTCACAATGGTCCCCTGTGAAAAAGGTCGGGCATCTACAAGAGTTCCCTTCTAAGCACCTTCCGCCATTTTGACATCTTGGAATGCATGCTGGTGAAACTATGGCATTAGGGAATTTAATGAAACGTTTTGAGTTTTCTAGGAATGCATAGGCAACGTCGAGATATAAAATACCTTGACGATGAACTTCTGGTAGATTGACAGATATAATATAAAAAGGCATATAATAATAGCTGCTGTAAACAATTTAGAAACCTACGATCTTGGCCAGCTAACAATGGTAGTGTAATAATAATAATAATAATAATAATAATGATAATAATGATAATGATAATGACAATGATAGCAATGATAATAGTGATGATGATGACAATGATAACGTTGACAATGATTAATATGTTAAAAACAACAACAACTCAGGTCAGTTAAGTTTTGTCATATTTAATGAAGCTCCTACTGACCTCCATCAGGGAACAAGTCTGCTCTGTTGTTTGGTACTATGATGTTCACTATGGGGCGCACCACCGCGTGGGCCTCGGAGGAGGGCGATGATTGAGCCCCTCCACGCAAACTTAGCCGAGTACTATCTTGAGGCTTCACCTGGTCTTCATTCTCGAGGTGAGTGTCAACTGAAATTACAGTTATTTAGTGATCACAATAATGAGACTTTTTCAAATGTGCTTTACAGGCAGAAGAACGTAAGATGCGATATAACTCTTGTGGAAATGTTGCCTCCTCATAGAATTTGAACGTCCATCAAAAAGTGAAATTGCAACGGTCCCTCTAATGTAAACTTGTCTTAGTAATAAGAATCATGAGTTATTTGATGCGAGTTACATCTGTTTAGTTGGATACTTTGCACCCTTTACTGAACTGATATGATTAATATGCATAATGTGCATAATGTTTTACTTTAGTGACACTCAGTGTAATAAAAGCTAATGAGTAGAAATGTTTTGATTTGGATATAGTGTATGATCCGAGCTTCTGCAGATGGGTAACATGGTAAGGAGCTGGACAAATTCGCGATTTTGTTTAAAAAATTTCAATCACACACAAATTACAAAAAGTTTACTTACCTTTGGTTTCTTGTTCCTCATGAATGAAATGAGAAGGTTTGCTTACGTGCCCTGATCTTTCGGGGAACAGAGATGAAATTGGTATGACAATCTTTTCGGGATTTGGTAGTTTTGGAGCCTCGTCTTTTGAAATGTAGACATTGGTTTGCTGGTTGTGAGCTGGATGCTTCTCTTCAGGCTCGGATTTTATGGAAGAGTGGATAATGGTCGGCATTGTTGGCTGAGGGACTTCTGAAAAGAGACCAGAACATTTTTGAATGTGTGGTAGAGCGTTAAAGAAGTTTAAGACTGTAAATCTCCTATGACTTCCCTTCGTGTACGAAAAGTGAAGCAGAGGATAGAGGAGAATTGAATGGATAACAAGAAAACGGATAAAATGGAAAAAAGTTGTCGAGAAGACCTTAGAAAGGTTCAGTCTTGAATGTGTTGTGGACGCGGCTTCCACTAAAGGAGTAGCCAAAAAGCTCAATTTTTACACCAAGTAACAGGGATGTTATATTTTCGGTGTTAGCATTGCATGTTTCGAAATTTGCCTGAGAAGACACCATTCTAAATCTACACGCTTCATGTGGTCATGGGGAACACAAGTGGCCATTGAATCCCAGCTTATAAGTTTCTACCTTATTGAATGAAAACATCAAACACTAAAGATTGAGTCATAATTCCAGTTGTTCACACCTGACTTTTGTTCTACGACCAGCAGGCGCTTCGCCAAATCTGCCATCGCTGTCTCCAAAACTGTAACCTCGCTCTCCAGCCTCGAAACCTTTTTCTCCAAATTGTGAACTTTATCATCGTTGTGGATTCCGTAAACAAAACTCGAGCCCCTTGGTCCTGATGTGCAAGAATATCACAAAATGTGTCGAGTTGAATTCTGCATATTATTCAATAAGCTGGAGGTCATCATAGCTCTTTATTCCTCTAATCTATATTCAGGACCCCCTCTCTCAATTTCCTCCGTAACCAGTCCCAGTCCGCAGTCCGCAGTAGCTAATTGTAGCGGGTAGAGGATTAGTCAGTCCGTTAGTCAAACAACAAGTCACACTTCAAGTTTGGATTAAGTTGTGTTAGAGTTTTACCACCCCCTTCCCAAACATTCGAGCCTTAACCGCGCATATGAGATGCATATAGCAAAGAAAAAAAGAAAAAAACGTCTTTGCGGCATCTTGCTGGGTCTGAATTCCCTGCAACATTAAGTTTGAAATTAAATACTACAGGATACATCGAGTTCGCGAAAGAGAAAATCAATACCTTGCACAATCTGTTTAATGCTGTATGTGTTATCGTCGTTTGAAGTCGTCAGAAGAGAAGTGGGAGGAGTGCGAGACGTTAAGACTTCAACTGTCAGTACAAGATGATTGATGGATGTTAGTCTGCGTCATGAATATTTTTAGCGCTTGCAATTAACACAAAAAATACTTACATGTTCATTTATTATCCTGTTGACGTTATGGGTTTATATCATAAATTGGAAAGCGACGTGGAAGTTTTTGTGGTAACAAACTGGTCATTGATAAAGAGATGTGAATAAAATAATGAAAGGATGAATAGATTCAGTAATGACTGAATTAAAATGAAAATGGAATGAGCGAAGTATAGAGATTGGCTAAAAACAAAATGATGATGATCCTTTTGAAGATTTACCTTGGTGAGATTTCGATGATTGTTTGTCCTTCTCTGCAGGAGTTTGTTCCCTTCCAGAAGAACTATTCTTTAGTTTACTGGACGTCAATTTGTCATCAATTCCTGAAATTTTTTTTGCAAACAAAAATATGTATCTATTGTGTAAGCCAGTTTAGGTCATCATATTGACGTTTAGCATTGATGTTCATTGATTTTCTACTCTATTAATGTCTTTTTTTACACAACTCTTGTGCTTTTACCTGGATTAGGTTTCGTTGACTTTTCGTCCTCTTTCTTTGGACTTTGGTCACCCTCAGATGAATTGCTTTGTATTTTCATGGACGGAGAGTTTTCGTCAATTCCTGAGATTTCTTTTGATAGAACAAAAACATTAGTGTAAAGCCTTTTTGGCCAATCAGTTTGACACTTAGTTCTGCTGAGTATCATTTTCGGTGTTTGAAATACGCAGTCAATGTGTAGACTGAAGCCTTAATCTCCGTTTTCAACATAGCAGGATCCATGAAGACAGGGGCATGATAGATGTTTATCACTGGAGACGATGCTTCTCATGTAGCAATCTGTTTTTCCCATGAAGCAATCTGCTCTTCCCATGAAGCAATCTACTCTTCCCGTGTGGCAATCGGCCTGGGCGGTCAGGAATAGGGTTAGAAAGCAAACATATTGAATATGGTGCTTACGGCGTTTTTCTCTTTTATTACAGATTGAAAAGTGGATAACTGGGGCAGGTAGGATTTAAAGGGCCTCAAGGGCTATGAAATATGACGGGTTTGGCTTTTGCGTCAGTACGTTTATGTTGACTTTCCATTTTGTCACGGAAAGGAAAAGGCACAGTAACAGAGTGAAATGGATAAATTATTTTTTATCTATTAATCAATGAAGGAGGTCGCAGATGACTACGAGATTTCTTCCAGATTCAGGCCCAATTCTAGCAACGCGACTTTTGAAATTTGAGTATTACGATTTAAATAGGGATCGGAAGGATGATGAACCATCACACCCGTTACCTTTGATAGCTGCTTGGTGATCTTCCGACTTCGAGGTGCTAGGTGGCCGTTCCTCTTTGGTTTTCCGTGAGGCCTGAAAATCTTGGTGCGATTTTGGTGACATCTTCACCTTGCTGAAATGCTCTTAAAAGGGAAGAAGGGAGATTATGAAAAAACTGCTCCAAAATCAGTAAGAATCGGGTTCCTTTTTGGAAAAAGTTTCTTTTTTTCCATAGAACTTGCTTAGAAACAAAGTTCAAAACAATAAAGTGAAATCGGCCCCCGATCTAGAAGGCTCCATTCTACATCCGGGACCCATTTATATTCACGGTGAAAAGAAGCACTGTGAGAGCTAAGTGTCTTGTTTAAGAGCACATCACAATGACCTCAACACAACACAGTAACCCAACACGTCACAGTGACTCCAACACAGAGACACATCCCCCACTTCTTTAATAGTTGAGCCCAGACCTTCAGATCTGAAGTCCGGTGCACCTACCACTCGGGGGGGAGGTTCGGAGAAAGCTGATCTATTTTGAATCCATAAATCTATGAAATGAATACTTACTATATTTAGTATCTTTTGGCGGTGGAACACTCTCCGAGTTAGGCTTGTTTGGTTGCTTTGACATTGGCTTTAGCTTACTAAGTTGCTTGTATTGGGCGTTAATTACTTGTTGAGGAGAATGGGATACTTTATGTCTGACTATTTCATTATCAGAAACATGTTTTGAATGATGGCGTTTAGTTGCCTTGGTCAGTAGATCTGATGATGTGGGGTTTGGATCTCGAATGGAGCCACTTCCAGGATCATGTCTTGTATCATCAGTTGAATCGCGTGTCACGCTTCTTCCCGGATAATCTTTTGAGCCACCTCCTGAATCATGCGTCACGCCACTTCCTGAAGTATGTGTTACGCCATTTCCTGGACCTTGCGTTACACGTGTTTTTACTGGGCCATTTGTCGCATTGTCTCTTCCTTCGAGTTTGTCAGATTTTTCCGGATGATTTGCCAGTATCTTGTTAGAGAAAGACCTGTGACGGTTTTCGTCTTTAACTGGGATGGAATTTCCTTGTAAATGCTGAGTATCGTTTATATAGTTCTCAGAGCCCTTTTTATCCTTTCGCCCAAGCATGGAGTTAGGTGCATGTGAGATGCTCGCTTTGCCGCTCGGTACCCCTCTCTTTAAGTTAGGTTTGATCTCAATCTTTTCTTTCTCTTCCAGTGTTTTGCTTTTTGAATTTGTTTGATCTGTGATAAAGTTGAATGGCAAATTAGTCTTCTACTCTTCGTTGAGATAAGTAAGATTTAACGAAATTCTTCAATGCTGGCATTTTAAAGGTAGGAGCTAGGAGCGACAAAAAGAAAACAGGAAAACAGGTATAATAGTCATTAGTATGCCCTTTACGGGTTGAAGATGTTCCTATCAACCTTTGATCATGAGTAACTCTGTGACTATATCCCTTAATGAGTCGAACCTAGTCACTACGGAAGGAATTTCAATAATGGGTATTTCTACTAGGGTCTCAATAGCATTTGGTGGCAAGATGGGTTGTTTTATAGTTATAAATTATCAATGGTATTTTCTTGACAAAGAGTATGCCCCCAAGCATACGCTCTTGTTAACCCCTGTCCATACCCTATAACTTACTGGCTTTTTGTGTTACTTTTGGCAATGGATGATAAGGTTGGCCTGGTTGTGGAACATAACTGTGACTGGCATACCTTTTCGTGTCTCATTTTTACCGTCCAATGGGTCCTGTTTGGCCTTTTCCTCTGTAACTTTTCGGATGGCTCCTTTCGAACTTCCTAGCTTTTGAGAGGTCACAATGATCTTCTGTTGTGACTCACCTCTTGCTACTGAAATAGCTGCACCTTTCTGAGGTTCCTTCTTAAGCGGAAAGCTGATGTCATCCACCAACTTTCCTTTTTCATTTTTTTTTGTTTGTGTCCTGTTCTCAATTTCAACGACAATCCGCATTGGATTTCTATAACGGGCTTTTTGTACATCTCCACGGGTAGCTTCTTTGTTATATGTAATTCCACCATTTTGTGAATTACTGAAACCTCTTTCAGAGTTTGAAACATTTTTCCTTTTGGTCAAGGTATTTTCCTTGGTAACTGTTTTGTTTGCCTGTAAGGTATTTAGCGCTGCCTCACTCGTAATTTTGGATTCTTTGAGGTTTTTTCTCGACGAGGTCAACCTTTTTTGATGCGTGAGAACTGAATTATCACTGAACTGAGCAGGACTGGTTTCTTTTATTGCATCTGTTTTCATTTTTGCAGTGACGTTCCGTTGCATATAATTAATGTCAATGCCTTCCTTTACCTCATGAATATCCATAGCCTTAAAATTTTCATGAACAGTATCATTTGCCTTGTTCACTTTTGATGCCCCCTTTTTTCCATTTAGCTTTATTACTATCTTCTCGGATTTCGCTGACGGTGGTTTTTTTGTTCTTTTGTGCAACACATCGGAGGTAGTTGTTGTGTTGTTCCCAGTAAGTCCTTTTCTTGAGCTCTTTTTATCCCTTTGAGTGTAAGGTTCTTTATTTGATTGATTCTTCTCAACATTAAGAATCTTTTTTCCGGTCGGGTATGTCTCTCTATAATTACTTTCCACAGCTGAAGTTGACTTGTGTAAAGTTGATGAATCATTTCTAGAAATAGACTTGTTATGCAAAGGAGTGTTGGATGTGTTGAGCAGTGCTGGTAATACATTATTGCCTCGTGTTTCCGAACCAATGACATAAGAGAGAGTGGTTTTAGGATCTGAAAGTGAAGTCCTATTTCGTTTCAAGAAATTTATCCTCATTGTTTCCAATGCTGTGGATTTTCCGGACTTTTTCACTCTCTCCATCTCGCTTCGCGATGTGTTTACCTTATTTTGATTAACTTTCCTCTTAGGAAAGAAACTATTTGTGTTGTTTTGATCTCTTTGGTCATCGTTTGTCGCTTTATTGATTGCACTTAGTTGCTTTACCGCTGGTTTTACGAGTTCCACGGGCCTTTTCCCCCCTCCGCCCCGTGCGCTGTTGTCTTCACCGCGTAACTTTATTTCAGGGCGACTTTCATCATCTCTTCTCAATGAGTCACCACTAGACTTTTTTGAAGAGTTATTTTCTCTTTCTTTTACATCAATAATTTTAATATGTTGCTTTTCTTTCTGTATCTCTCCCTTACGAGGGTCAGATTTGCTTCTCTCTGTATCCGCGTCAACGTTTTTGTGATTCTCTTTGTTAATGATCACCAAGGTGTTATTAGTACTCGATCTTTTTTCTTCACCATTTGTTAATGAGACGGGAAGTGTAATTTTAGGCACCAAAGTAGAACGAGTTTCTGATTTGTCACGAATGGAAGTGAAGTTCTTATTTTCTTTCTCCTCTGACGTTTTCTGGATGACAGACATGGTATTCTTCATTAAATTGTGAGTCTCAGATTTTAGCTTCGGTTTGGATTCATTCATGTTCCTCTTTAAAAACGACACCTTTACTTTCTCTTCTGGTTCTTTAATGGCTGAAATTGAATATTTACACATTTAAAAAACAATGATCATTGCAAGGATAAGAAGTGGCAGGTGTTCTAATCCCAAGGTTATCCATTGGGAGAAAGGGCATAATAAGTCAAATTATGCGATTTGAAGGATTGAAAGCTGATAAGTAATTTTATGCTTTAGTACACAACACATTGACCCGGCCAGAGCTTGAGCTACGAGCTCTAGATCCACTGACCATTAGGCAACGATGTATCTCACGAGGAAACATGCTTTAAAAAAGATGCAGTGAAAGTAAAGGTCTGTATGGCAGATCATTTAAGAACGGAAACTTTCCTGCCACTCAGTCAGAGGATTTCAACTTACGTTTCGTATGAGACGACTTCCTCCCTATGCTTGAAACGTTCTTTATAAAATCAATACTAACTCTTTGAACTGGTAGATCTAAAAATCAAAGAGAATTCAACGATAGGATTGTTTTGGATACTACTGATTTGATATTCCTATTAAAAAAGTTTTATGTACATTTAAATTTTATGAACAGGGATAGCTTTACATTTTTAAACATAATGAATAAGATTTCCTTAACAATGAAGGGAAGGATGAGCTTTTCTTATGATTTTACCTGTTTGATGGTGAACTGTGTCTATTCTGTGCTTCTTTTCGGGTTCCGTTGAACCGTCGTCTTTATCAAAAGCTGCTGACCCACTGCTGTTCATTTTCACATCTGTTATTGCCAATAATCATGCATATTTCAGGTTATTGGAATCGCCTCACCCAAGCATTACGATCACACTTTATAGGAATTTTCTTTTCAAACACCCTTAATGAATTGCACCAAGGAAATATCAAGGATAACTGAATGAGTATAGAAGTTGCTAAATTCGAAGCAATCGTAGATTGTATTTCCTTTTTGATCTTTACAGACTACGGCATTGTATTTACTCCTCAATTGGTTCTAGCCTATGATCTCTTAAGGGTTAGGCCCGTGTATGACATCATCGATAGCCACCTGTTTGTAATAAAACAAATGCTGTCCATGTTGCCTTGGACTTGTTCAAGATTGATCGGTAAAATGTCAGCTACTTTATTATTTTTGAATTGTGACATCATGTGTGATCTTTTACTCAACATTCTCTCTGCAACATAGAATCATTTTTTCAAAAAGGATGACTCTATTTAAGAAATTTTTTGAATGGTTGGTCAATGTAATGAGCAACGGAAAAGTTGCTCCGAGACAGCATCGCGGTTACGTCAGGCAGCATACTAACAGATAATTATCATAATTAAATCTTGGTGTACGTACCAACTGTGTTGTTCAGCATTTTTCCCAACTTCTGTGTGATTGCTCTTCCTGTGTTGTGTACCATATCATTCACGATCGAATGCATTACCACTTTGGCTCCTGTTTGTTTGAACAAAAATTTTAAAGCAATCCTGTCATTTAAACATTTAGAATTTGATTCAGTACAATTCAAGTATGGTGGCGGATTACAGCCTCGATTACCTTTACTACTTTAACTTATGACCGTCCAAAAAAAGAAACCTCCCAGTTATCAAATCACGTATATTTTCACGATCTTCCAGTAAGTCATGACGGATCTAAATAATGCTTGAGGTCAAAGGTAGAAGATGGAAGGGTTTATTACCTCATGCACTTACATCAATTTTGATAATATTCGTTTTGCATTATTGTCTGCATATGACTAGATCTGGCAAGTTTGTAATATGTCGGTTGATACATGATTGTTGTGAAACGGAGTTTATCTCTTGGTTGTAGTCATTACTCCGTGCAGTCGTCGAGTCTTATCGGAGGAACGCAAGTAATCCTACCTACCTTTTGCCTTCCAAACTCTCCATATTCTATGCATAACTGATATCCAAAGACCACTAAGTTGTTCAAACGTTTTGAAAGCAACGCCTAAGCTTTCAGGGCCTACGTTTAAAGAGAAAAATTACCGTCAGGTGTTACAGCTTATCATGCTTACTGGGTTGAGATAATTTTATGCTTCGTGCTTTACCAGAGTTGTCTTATGCAGGCAATAATGCAAATATTAGAAGGAAAGGCTGGATGGTTGGTTTTCTTACCTGATCTGAGCTTTTTGGCAAACTCCTGATCTGATTTAGCTGTGGAAAGAATAATTAAGCGTTAAAATTTTGAATGTTGGAAGTAATTTCTGCAAGGGCATAAGAGTAGAAACAAAGTTAAAAATTGTTTCGGCTTCCATTGCGTCCTCCTTGCGAAAGTAAATTTCGGTTGATGTGACTCACGTGTCAGTTTAGTTTCCACACCGGTTAAATGCTTCAATCAATAAAGGTTCTGTCTGGGTTGTGAGAATTGTCGGTATATAAGAGCATACCATATTTGTTCTCTTTGATGAAAACAAGTTATATGTGCTATGGCGTTTCAAGCTGTTTCAGACATATCTTGATTTTACAGATTTAATCAATAAATTGGATAGGGAAATTGTCATTCATGACTGGTTCTTTTGGCATGATTTTCACACAAATAAAAAAAACATCTTGTTACGTTATTGGGAAGGTATTTCTGTCATTGTAATCTTACCCTTTTTAAGCCTTTTCATTACATCGATTGCATCGCCAACTGGAGAATAGAAAATTATGGAGTACTTATTGGTTATTAAACATATTCAAGGTTATTGAGATACATAGTAGCCTCTTGATGAAAAGTAGAAGTGTTTAAGCGCAAAACTGCCCATGCCTGTGGGAGGACTATGAAGACCAGTGTTAAACACGTTTGACCTTTTGATGTGACAAAGGATCCAACTATCAACCTGGTTATTAAGGTGTTTTTCCGTAAATTTCTCTAGATTCTGCAATCACAATGTATGGGTACAAAACACTTTACATTTAGAGACTTTAACCCCTAACTAGTATAACTGCGTGAGTTAAATCGGGACAAAGATTTGTTAATTTTCATCCCAGCCGTCTTAGGTCGGAAACACTCTCTCTAGTCTGATGCAACAACTGCAATTATCGTGAGAACTCTTTGAAACAGAAAATGTCATGACAAACCTTTAGAAAGATCCATTGAAGAACCAAAATCCTCGTTGTTCTCCTGGTTTCCACTATTCTCCGAGCTGTATTGTGACCTGCCATCGTGTTTGGAGCCCCCTTTGTCTTCACCAACACCAGAGGTAACAAAGATCCTATTGGAGTAAGTTTGCGAGATTCTTGGATAAAATGTGGGCTTTTCATCATCTTCGGCTTTGTCGGTTGAGCTCGAACCAGATTTAAACCCAGTGAAATTATCATCCTCACCTGTGCTGGTATCTGACAGGTGTTGTAGATAAAAAGCGATCAAAAGTCAATATCAGCTTCTGTCAGTAAAACTCAATTTGGCAAAACTATAATTTGGCAAAACTACTGCCCCATTTCTCGGTTCATTTAGCTTTCAATACACATTTTCTCGTCACCTTCTGGTCTATAACATGGCTTACTGGAAGAACTTTGTTGCGAACTGCTAAGAATATAAATCTGCCCAACTTTGGTATTTCGCGGATTCTTACCACCACTTCTATTCCAATCGTCCTGATCCCAGGATCCCTCTCCACTGACGTCGTCAGCATCATATTCTATAAATGCGAGGGTTAATGCTTACAGTAAATGGTTACAACCCAGGAGTAACAGTTGACCGTGTAGACTTATCCTCCAGGTGAGAGTAGTCCCGTGAAGGACAGTTGTCGGTGCTTAAGGTAGAGACGGAAGTTTCGACAAGCTAATCGTCACCATCAGAATCAAGAAACGTTTTTTGTATGGAATTGTGTATACTGAAAAAACTACCAATAATCCACATAAAAGTCATTAGTTATATTGATCCCTCTCTACCCATTATCCTCAGTTTCAACCATGTATAGAAACTAACTATGCAATCTGTTTTAAATACTGTCATTATTGGCTGATTGGTTCTTACAGCAGCATTAGCTACATAGATCAAAGACAACAAGAGTTGTGTCAATAATATGACATGTAACGGCTTCCATTAAAATGTCATTTAAGCTTTTAGAATCCCAAAAGTTAAATCAGAATCATGGCTTTCTGTTTGACGCCCTTAATCCTCTACACCCCTACATCAGAATGCACATTCTCCAAACCGTTCTCTATAAATTTACAAAGTGCTGACAAGGATAATTTGTTTAAAAATCAAGAACTTTTTCAGTTGGTGATCATTTCCTTTATTCTCGTGTGATTAAGGGGCAAAGCGGTTAAGCTCATTAAAGCTCTTGGTGGAAAACAAGTCCTGAAGTCAATTGCAAGATCCTGAAAGAGGCTCCCTGTTTCTTTCTATTGTTTATTTGTTTTCATCATCGTTTCTTGATTCGATCTTACCTTCACAACAGCCTAGTGCCAGTCCCTGTATGACAAGGGGGAGCAAGATGACATAGAGGTTCATCACCTCTCCTGCTGTAGGTGGAACTACCCCCTGAGCAGTGGTTACATGTATGAACTTTCAGGAGGGGAAATACCCTTGGAATCTGTGAACATGAAGTAAAGAAAAATTTTGAACTGTGTTTCATATCCTTTTTAATTTAAGGAAAGATAAATTTAAAACATTTATATGGCGCAGCATACTAGAGACTAAGGAAAGGTTTTTATCGTGAAATGCTTGTTTTAAGAATTTCTCTCGCTATCCACTTGACTAGCTGTCCGTTAAGTGGAAAGAAAAATTTATATAGGTGTTGAATAGAAGTGGACCGTGCGAAGGAGAATAAATTTATTGATGTCTCAAGATTTTCATAGCACTACTAGGGCTATAACATCCTGTAGACAATGTGTTTCCCACATTTTAGCCTAGGACTAACTGCAGTAGCTTGTGACAATATTGGAGGTTAAAAAACAGAAATATTTTCGATATACATGAAAAATCTTTGAAACATGAATAAACTCATCTAATGAAATGCATTTTCATTTACGTGCAGGTCAGTGAATGTTTCTTCTCAGTGTCTTTATGAATTTTTTTGAAAAAAAAAATCACGAAAGACGTTACATCCATCCCATTCAGAACGAAGATTGTACAGCTGGTAAAAATGGGAGCCTTGTTTGTGCACTTGTTGTGTTTCAGTGTATTTGCAGCCAAAAAGCAAACAAACCAGCAAAGGGAATTTCGATATGATAATAAAGCTTTTCATCCAAGTACCATATTTGTAAAATACTTTACAAAGGATATGGTTATTGGTGCCAAGTTATATTTAGACATGGATGACATAGCTTCATATCTAAGATTATCTTGGCTCATCCTGGTTAGTAATGAACCCCTCGATCGTTGAATTTTTTTTTAACCAAAGAATGTATGAACTGGAAACTTGACAGTTTCAGCCATGCTGATTCATCTTGCTCATCGTGTCTCAAAAGCTAGCTAGAACTGGGTCAATTTCAAACGTCAAGAGTGCACTTACGATTTGTGACGGCTCCTACAAAAAGTTCCACTATTTTTCCTGATTTCAGTCGAGGTTCAGTCGTGAAAAAAGCGAATTTTTGCGATCCACTGCGTTCAACAGGAGTGTTTAAGGAAATTCCTTAGCAAGTCTCGCTATATAACCTCCGATTTACATTAAGTTTCTGTTTTACGGAAAATTTGTAAAGTTAGTTTATTCGATCATCCGTGAATGTAATGAAATACTTCGATTCTTTTATCCCATTATCGCGAACAATGGAACCCGTGGTCACCAGTTGCTTTGCAGTGCTTCATGCGTAGTCTCTATTATCCGTGGATTTGGGATCGTGTGTCTTATCACACCGTCCAAATAACAATAATTTCCGCTGAATTTGATTCGGAGTTGAAAAAAAGGCAGAGTGCTTTCTTTCATTCAATACTTCAATTTTAGCCAACTGTAAACTTAACATTGCGTTTTCAATGAGGACATCATCACAAACCCTTCAAACTTAGCACATTGCGTAACTAACTGACTTTGTGGTTCAGTTAATTATAAGGTATCCTACCTCAAAGTCGGCGGTGTTTTCTCCATTGAACACTAGTGTGTCTATGATTTTAAGCTTCTAGCGATGACCACTTTTCTATTGACAAATACGCATTAAAACGTATAATTTTAATAATTTTTTTGTTTTCTTCAGTTGCAGACCGTAACACTGAACTAAGGTTTTTGTTCCATCTAAAAACGAATATTGAGTGATGGATTGAAAAATAAAACACTTGCACTTAAAAATATTCCTCGGAAAGATTAGTTAGTATAGAATGCTGATTAAAATTCTTTTCAACGAATCACAAGTGCAAGTACGCCTAGCTAAACAAAAAAAAAATCATTGATCCTAAGAAACGTTTCCTGCAATCATAAATACCGTAGAAAAAGGAAGCCGGTTCCACTAATAATTCTTAGTGAGTACAATCCTTAAAATCTGGCATGGAAATTATAAATAGAGGGAACTTTAGAAAGGGAAGGACTCATGAGTTTTTCACAATTGTTTACACCTGGCTTCATCTAGACAGAACTTTTCCTAAAGCTCTACGGACTCGTGAGTCTGCATTCCTGGATGTGGACGGTGGTGCAATAAGTAACCGTCAACGTATAAAATAGATTGTAATTAATCCCTTAAAAATTCTTGTGATTATTTAGACCGAGGAAGAAAAATAATCGTTTTCAGGTTTGGTAATTTGGTAGAAGTTTTCAATTTTTCACAAGTATTGATGTCTTCAAGTGGCAGCAATAAATCGGGAGTACGTTTCCTAAGCTTTCTCTTGAAGCTCGAGAGTACAATAAATGGATGAATGATTTTATTTGACAGGTTTGATTAAACAGTTTGTGCCAAACTTAAACTTAACTGCACTTTTTACTTGTTAGCTTTCCATTTCTCATCGAGAAAAAGCCTCGAAAGGATAAATAATTTTTTCTTCCTACGTTCCATCTGGTTAGAATTTGAAGATGCCTCCTACTTCTAAGTACAATGCTACAATGCTCGAAAGCGCTTACTATGCACTAAGTCTTAACCTTTTGACCTTGGCTCTGTTTTAATTTAGAACTTTGGTACCCGTCATGGGTATCTATGTTACCATGTGACGTGATTCATGGACAATCACTATCATTGACTTTTAGTGAAAGATTGTTTAGTAAACACTATATTTCATCTCCATAAATATGCCAACCACTTTTGTTACCACGTTGTGTTCTCATCTTAGCGTATCAAAAGAGTGAAAGAACCTGCTGCATCGTAGACTAAACTAGAGTCAGTGAGAGAATCGCCGTCAAGTACCTCACACTGCTTTATTTTGCTGACACGACTGTCATACTTCGTTAAAAAGCAAATAAATGGAAGGCCATGCATCGTTGTACCAAAAGATCAAATTATCGAACGAGAATGCTAAAAAAATGTAAATTAAATCATATGAACTCTTCCAGCTTTAATAAGTCACAAGTACCAGTCGATCAATCATCAGAATCGTGAAGGAATTATCTATTCTACGTTGAATTCGTTTGCAGTTAATGGTAATTACATTTGGCCACACCTACCTCTGTACTAAATGATGGTCGCCCTTTCTCCCCTCTTAGCCTTAAGAATCACAGTTCCATGAAAACGAAAATCACTTCGAGAAACTCGTAAACTTACTCATGGGTGGTCGGTATCAACACGGCTAGGGGTTTACAGCGAGTTGTGTACGCATGAGCGACAGTGTGATTCGAGACGCGCGCAATGACCTCAGCGAAGTGGTATGATTATGGTTATGACCCTCCACTGACCTGGCCTGTTCAACGCACTAAAGCGTCGAAGGGAGAGAAAGCCTCGAACAAAATCTCCCCGATGATTACACGTCACTTGGTTTTCGTGAAATGTGAAGCATTTAGACTCCTTCTCACCAGGCAGTGATCCATGGGATGGTGTCCTGCTCTACTGATGCGAAGCGAAGATTTAGTAAATTCTTCAGAGGGAAACGTTTTCTTCAGTCTTAAAAACGCAATTTCATCGTGTATATATGTGCGTCTAGCCGATGTCTGCCCGAAAATTAAGAAAAATGTCGGATTTAGCCTAATTCTAGAGAGACAGCAAGTTCGTCTTTGGTGCCAATACTTTAATGGTTTATACTGGATCAAGTAGTAGTGTAATATCGCAAGCACCTGTGGCATAATAACGACGAAACAGGTCCGTTCGCCTGAGCTATTTGAGTGAGGTGAATGTTGATTAATCTCTCGGATATCTAATGTAATTCAAGTCTTCAGGTTTGTAAAGAATCCCAAAACGGATTCTTTTCTTGTCATGGTCTTTCCTAGTTCGATTGATAGAGGTTGTCTTTAACTAGTCCTTAGTAAAAGCAATTGAAGAAATTGCTTTTGACTTAATTGAGTAAAAAAGTTTCGTTCAGTCAACAATTCCACGGTTTGTGCTACTTTTAATGGTCGAAAGTTAATTTGATAGGCAATTTCGTGAGACAAGAAACGATCATTAAAATAAACATTTGTTTAATGAGGAGACCAGGGTTCTCTTTCCGAGAGTGGGGTTTAATGTGTGATATATTGAACTTAGGGCGAAGATGGGTCAATAAGACATGATTGATACTTTAAGACAAAAACCATATAATTTTTAAGCTTTAAAATATTTTATTTCTTCAAAATATTTATTTTATACAACATTTTCTTAATATTCTCATTAAGTTGTTGCCATATTCTTCTCTATCAAAATATTAATTTTATAAAATGTACGGGACCATCATAGAAAAGGAAATCCTTCAGCATGGTATTCTGTCTTCCATTTGTCCTCGTTAATATTTTTGGTCTCTGCTGAAGATTACAAATTATTGCTGAAAAATAGAAATTCTTATTGAAATAAAAAATTTTCCCCGTGTTTCTTTGCAGTCCTTCAAAAATATTCTAAGTAATTACGTTCTCGACATTATGCTGCTCGAGAATTGGAAATCCATAATAAGAACAAACGGAGTTGTGTTCATTTAGACAGCTAGATAAGAGGTCGTGGTCATAAAATCCATGAGTACTTAACTCTTTCACTCCAAACAGTGACCGAAAAAAGAATCTCTAACAGGTAGGTGCATGGAACAAAGCAAAATATTAACCTAAGGCCTTCTAATACAAGATTCTCAGGGCTGGAATCGTACAAAATGAACGGAAGACAGAATAGACATTAAGATATTGGAGGTGAAAGGGTTAAGGTCATGGCACGAGATGAAACTGCATAAGAAACGGCTGCATGCTGTTTTCTGATCGGTGAATCAGAAGAAGAAGTTGTTCTAAAGAAACTGGCCATGCAATCTAAAAATCGCCGTTTTCTTGTCGTGTTCTTTCTGTCCTATCTTTTTGTTGGTGCAAAGTTCCTCCTCATCTTACTGTGTCCAGTCGCCAGCGGCATTCCTTGTGATGCCGGTTGTCTTGTGATTTTCGCTTCTCAATAGTCCGTCATGTTGTTTAAAGGTTCTCTTTTGTGATTAAGAACGATATGATGAGAAAAACCTGAAAGTATTGAAAAATACAATGCATATTAATGATAAACAGACAAATAGAGTTTACTCTTGGACAAATGACCAAAATCCTTCGTTTGGTTGTCCGTTTTGTGACGAGGCTGGGACGAAGAACTCGGAGTCCCCTTGGAGAAATCGAGCCCCTGGCTCTCGGATTTTGCGGTACGATGCTCTTCTGTAGGCTACTAATGAGTTAGAGAAAAGTCAGTGGTTGTTTAGACCATTTGTAGCTTCCTATTTGACAAGAATTTTACCAGACGTAGGTAAGAATGAAGCTTATTACATATGAATCATCTTTCTAATACCATCAAAGACTATCATAGGTTATTTCTCCACCTTGGTTTCCTTGTGGTGTAAATTGTTGTGTACGTGTACCTTTCACAGGTTTTAAGAGATTCTGAGCATTTTATTACAACAATACAGACATACTGAACGGTATTTCTTATTCATGAAAGTTTTCCTTGAACAAGGAATGTTCGAGCGTGAGACCTCTCTTTCCGTTTCATGCATTGTGATAATGTATTTGAAGAAGATGGGTGGCTGTAATTTCAGTTGAAGGACACTGAGCACGGTGGGCTCCTGAGAATATTGGCGCTGACTAATAGAGAGTTAACTGGCTTATCTGGGATGTCTCTTCTCAATTTGGCAGTGAGTAGTGATGAAATTGTCAAATTATGTGTCTCGCTTGCAATATTTGTTAATTGTTTTTTTACTTTTTCCTATCAGAATGATGGAATTAAGATTTTCTCTCCGACGGTTTGAAAATCAAACGAAGAAGTGAGTCTTTCGTAATCTAGACATCTGTTGTTTAGAAACGTCACAGCTTTCGGTGAATTATTAAAAAACTCTGCAGGTACTTCAAGTAAATCTCAATACGCTCGAAGCTGGATTAATTTTCACATCCTCCAATGAAAATGGTAAAGATAGTCTCTTGTTATTACCAATTCTCTGTAAATTTTAGCATAGGTCACGCAAGACCTCATGATTGTGACAAAAGGGCGAACTTTTCTCAGTCGAAAGTTTCTAACTTTAACCAGCCAGGTACTATATGATAGAAAATACTAGAAGATGTTACCCTAAGACGTTGATCAATATTTGGAGACTCTACTGAATACTGGTGGAATGTTATCCCTCTCTTTCAATTCCCACCGAAAAATTACTATACTTAGGAATACTTCAAGACCTTCTCCCATAATTCTTTCTTTTCGGTATAATCGATCCGTGATTTATTTCGTGATTCAGAAAGTTAAGCTACTGCCTGTGAGCGCAACCCAGCAACTGACTGTTGGAAGACCCACTGTTTGATTAGCGGAGCAATTATCTTACAAAGATTGATAGAAGATTCTAGCAACACCTTTGCGGTCTTTTGAAAACACTCAATCCCTCTGGAGAGTGACCACTGCTACGCCTGGTCTTGAATCTTAAGTGGCAAAAGTCTCTTTTGAAGATGTGCTTTCTGTGAACGTCTGGACCACGATAAATCATAAAGATTTTAGCCCTAACATTTACTTATTAAAGTATATTGTTCAATTTTTTCAAAATATTAATGACGTCTTGCAAAGCTCTACTCGCACAGCACAGTTACTCCTAAAGCCGTAGAACGAGCCTAAACTTGTATTGAATAAAATTTTTTGGGGGCACAGTTTGCTATCAAAAGGAGTATTTATGGGTTACGAAAGAAAAAAAGGATAATTTACCGATGTCTAGTCGGGATTCCAAAATTCTGAAAAGTTGTTCAGGATGCAAAAGCTTATTCGCTATCAAAATAATAAATAATTTCTTATATCAGAGCCAAGACTAGTCTGTCGTCGGGACACCGAAAGCCAACTCATTTATGCTTTCTGAGAGTTTGTTATTTATACTTTTTTTCTGAATTAAAATAAAAAAGAAAATAAATGCAGTGTACTGTGCTTATTATGGGTTGTTTTCCCTAAACTGATGCACACTGTTTTGTTAAATTAGATGCTATTGGGCAGAGTTGTGATGTTGTCATATAATTAGCTTTGGTGACATAACTTCCTTCTTCACTAATCGAATTCACATTTGTGATTTACTGTCTGTCATATTTATTTTTTTCAAAAGGTGAAGCAAAGTAGAAGCAAACTCATGTCGAATTTCAGGCAAATTAAAGGCAAATAAAACTCTTCTTGCCGTTGGGAGTATCATTTTCCATTCGCTTTATCGTGACAAACAAATCAAGAAATAACTCTAACACAAAGATGGTTGTCATAGATTTACCAACATAATTTCTTAAAGATATCTGTTAAGGAATACCTTAATGTAAAATAGAATGACTTACCAGCGAAAGAACAATATATCAAGGCGTTCACTTTAGCTTTCGCCATTAAATGTTTCAGTGTACTGAACATGGGCCTCCTCACATCCACTTGTCACATGCTTGATAAATGTTTGTTCCAATTGCTGCCTTTTGCGTTTCAATTTCTCCAGTTCTTCCATTAACCTTGAATTTTCCATACAAAGCTCCTCCACTGTTGTTTCGAGCCTTGATTCACGAATAAGCTTTTTCTGACGGCATTTCCACGCCGCCAGACGATTTTTCCGCCGTTTTTTTTCCGTTTTGATGAAACCCTGAACGTCAGGCATTTTGGATGATTGTGACTGGTCGTCTACACTGTTCGGCTCTTGCTTTATGACCGACATGTTATAGAGTTTTGTGTGAACTGTTAGCCAGTGCTTTGGTGTCGGGGTATCCTGAATCATGTGTTGTCCTTCTGAGAGCCACTCGTTATGTGGCTGAAAGTTGTCTTGTGCATGGACGCCTTCTTGGAAATCCATGTCATCTGCAGCTCTGCCGTCGATTTCAAAATCTCCGACGCTATAGTCATTTGCCGTGTAATCAGACAAAGGCGAATTAGTCGAACAATCGTCCGATTCTTCTTCGGCAGAATTTAGCAAACAGTCGCTATATGGGCACTGTTGTTGTCCTGAGAATCCTTCTTCTAACGTTTCCACTTTAAACCATTCTGAATCCTCCGACCGCTCGAGCTGTTGTCCATATTCTCGTTCAGAAAAAGTTCTACGTGTGTTGTGATCTGCTTTGGTTTTAATCGTAGCACCCGTACATCTAACAGGTAAAAAAGTTTCTTGAAAAGACGGCAAACGGAAAGATGAATCAAATCTGTAAGAGATGAAAGTGCATTTCGAGTCATCGACCACTTTATTTGATTCGTCCTCCGTGGGCGTCCGAGTTTTGCTTGCTTCACGCAGTTCCCTCTCTTCTCGCAAACGTTGAAGCGCGTCGGTAAATCCCCTTGCAAACACCTCTTGTTCTGCGGTGACTTTCTGTGCGGAGTAATCTTCTTGTGTGGCAAAAATTGGCGGTGGAGGAGATGTTGACTGTAATTTTACCGCGCAAGAATCAGGAAAGTTTCTCCAAACGATCGTCTCAAGATCCGGCGATGAAATCCCGATATCCGGAGATCTCAGTAGATCTGAGATATCAAAATCGTCTCTCCTTGCCGATGTCTTGCACTCAGTCGTTAAATTTAACCATAATCTATCATTGTCTTGAGCACAGGAATTTTTATTTGCTAACAAAAAGCTTTGATCCTCATAAATGGTGGCCTCCATTTTAAATTAAATCACACTTAGAGACGCTCCAAAGTTGCGTACAAAATCCGTAAACCACACGGCCTGCTGTGAGGTTTGCTTGTAGAACTGTTTGCCTGAACTTTACACCAGTTTCGATAGTCTTGAGAAATTCGTGAGGTTCCATTAAAGGCACGTGGAATTCTATTGTCTCATGGATTTCAATGGAGATGCGTGGCACAAATCTTGGTAATCCTTTGTTTCAGTCACTGTGTTTGTTCCCTGTGATTGGCTGATTTCGTTTGAGGCTGGTAATATATTATTTCTCCCCGTGTACAGCGGCGTGACTTTTTTTTTTGATGGTTCAAGACTGTTCCGAGTGACTTAGAAGTCAAGGGCCTTTCATTCGAATGAAATTATATTTACTTAAAACAAGAGAAAGATAAATCTCATACGCCACGCAAGCCTATCGTGATGGTCATTCACCTGTTTCCTTTATTCATGTTGATGTAGATTGTTCTTAACATTAATCTGACGATGTTTTCGGTAAATGGGTAACATAATTTGAGCTCTAAACTTTTTTTTTTAATCGTTGGCTGACCATGATGTGTCTTTTATATACATTTGTGATCATATTAATCGCTGAAACCCGGCCCGGTTAGTTTGTAACTCTATGTCAGGGTACCCATTGACACTTTTGATGGTGGCAGATGTGAACCAATCTATCACCTGTCGTTTGTTGTTTTTGTTGTAGAACTCCTGCAGTTAGTATGGTCATCATTGGGCCTTCAAGATGGTCTCAAAATGGGTTCATTGACGTAATTATTATATCATTGCGGAGGCGGCGAGGCCTAGCGGTTAAGGGCGCTGGATTTTGAAGTCCCAAGGTCAAATTTCCCTCCTTTTTTCTCAACTAGATTTAAGTCTATAGCTTCGAGTTCAACTCCTCCGCTGCACCTAGTTACTAGTTCACTGATTTGGTTCAACAAGAGAAAAATTTCTAAGTTCATCTGCAAAATAGGCGTCTGCATCTCCCTCTTTCTGAAGCAAAAAAAAACTTCTACTCTACATGCAAATCCCCAACTAGTTCTTGGACTTTACATTTTATCGAGCACTTGTAAGTTGGACCTGTCGCGTGCTGTATTACTCATGAGAAATAATCGAGATTTTTCGCAAACAGCGGATGTTATTCAGATAAACATCTTGATGGGCTTATTTCAGTTGTTGTCTGTTTACATTAAGTTATCTCTGCAAATATTGTAGTTTAATGCATCGGGAGGGGTTGTACAGGAATTGGAAAACTCTTTACCAAAACTTGCAAAACTATTTGGATCTTACCTTCCTAAGAATCCATATCTCAGGTCTCAAGTCTCACTCAGGCGATCAAAATGATAAGCACATTGTTATTGGTCCGAGATTACGTCACAAAAGGAAAAATCCATAGCTCCGTGTTGTGTTTTAAGATGATCGAAAGAAAGACTTTGCTTGAAATTGAACTGGCAATGCAATTGACCCGTTTGTTATCCTTTTTTGATGCTTATACGATTATTTCCCTCCTACTCGCTTAACTTAAAAACCAATCTCCTCTCCTTTGGCGAATAATCGTTAACTCAAGTAAACACTGAAAACCATAAACACGTGCTGCTTGTGGAGAGCTTCGGCTTGCTTTGGTCGACACGGTCCCTTTCCTTAACATAAATCCCTGTATTATCCTGTCCAATTCTTGGAAAAAGGTAAATGACTTTTAAAAAAAATATTTTTCTGCATTTTCTGTGGACAATTGACAGAAAGATTTCTTTATAACTCCAAACTATATTAAATAACGCGCTAGTCCTAAAGGAAATTCGTTCTTTTCGCCATTATTTTCTCTATCGAAGAACCCTGTACATAATGAAGTTCAGTGCTGTGCCGAAATCCAATTAACAACAAGCCCATGTAACATAGAGAAGCTATGTTGTTTATTTTTCAGTCCTGTGAGTATGCGATACAATTGTATACCGCTGGCCGGCATCGGCCGCATACGTTACGGCCATTATTATTTTTCTCGTCATGGCAATTCTGTATCGGTATCCAGAATATTACAGCTGGTTTATTGAAAACTTGTACTTAGTTATTTTTTACCACTTTTCCCCGTAGTTTGTCTCCCAATAACTTGCACATTTTACCTTCTAAGGAGGAAAATTGGTCGAGTGGACGTGTTAACGAAGGGTAAGAAAAATTAAATCAGTTGGTGGGTTTACTCGTGTCCTTTTTTAATTACTCTTTGCTGAACAGAAATATTTCACAACTTCTTAACTTTCTTTATCCATTTATTGATCTCGAAAAGAATAACAACGTGACTTAAGCGTTGAAAAATATTGACACGAGACAGGGAAGTTCTATGGAGAAGTTACAGTGGTTCGGTTGTACCTCCCTTCTTTTTCAGAAATACTGGAACCTTTAAACGTGCCTAACAGATCAAGTGGAAGGAAACCATTTTCACCTCTAATGCTGCTCATTAGAAGCTAGAAATTTTCCTGTCTTTACAGTCTGATAAGATCATTGTATGGTAAAGTAGTCAGATCTTACAGGATTTTTTAAAACAGGTGACTAAAAAATGTTCTTATTCTATTCACTTCAGGAAGAATTATTGGTCCTCGTTGGAGGGTTATTGGCGCTGAAGACGGCGAAAGATAAGAATAAAAGTTTAAGTTTCAATCCAAATGTTGGCATCACTATGTTTTGAGACTAAGAAACTTGCATCATTTTATTGCAGAGGAATTTTTAGTTTCACCTTCACTTTTTATTTAGATTGATTTGTCATAAACTCTAATTGAGCACTTTTCGATCAAGTGTCAAATGACCAAGGCCGCAGTATTCTCGACGGCAAATTAGATTATATGGGAATAAAAAATTTAAGCAGAAAAAAGCAAATTGCCCGAGGCCTGGTTAAATGTAACAAAACCATTAATTAGCTTTAGATCGGATTGGTCAAGAGGTTAGCTTAATTGTTCACCTTATTAACCCGTCGCCAGACAATATCTAATGATGCACGCTGAGTTCTTCATGCATAAATGCCGCATAAAGCCGAAAAAACGATTTTCTAGGAAATTCTTGTCAATCGAAAGCAAATTTCTTATTTTTGAGAAGGTTAAAAAGGTGAGACGAAGTTCGATCCGACACAAAACGAAATTGACAGAATTTGCATCTTTGCACTAATTGGATAAATTGCGTTGAATTCACGAAAATGTGGAAACGTCCAAAAGACTTAAAATTCAGAATTAAAGGTAATTGATACTTTAGAAAATCGCTTTTTCTCTTCAGTTTATACTTAAATATTTATTGGGTTTCTCTGTGGTTCAGTAACAAACAATGTTTAAAGTGGCAGTGGATTTAGCTTTTGCCCCCTAAACTTTCCCTTTAAGTTTTACAAAAGTTGAATTTTATCCATGAAGTTGCTCATGTTATTCTTTAATGACTTGATAGATGTAAAAGAGACATACAGCCGAATTTGAATTTGCTCGAACCTTATTTTCTCTTGCTCGAAAGTGTTCTTTATTGCTATGATTTACAACCTAGAAATTTCGTACGTTCCAATCCCAAACGCCATCTGTTTCCTTTTTGTGCTGGTATGGGGCAAGAAGTATTCAATATTTTGCTGCCAATCTGACAGAATACACCAGAGAAAATAAGGATACAGTAATGATATTTTTCTGTAATATGTGAAACAGAAGGCTACATAAATTTTTAAAGTGAATTTCACTTTCCACATTTCAAACAACAGTAATTGTCAAACTGTTGTACAAAAAGGTTCAAGATAAGAACACTGAAAAAGTTTCCTATTAAAACTAATAACAGAAACAGAGAGCAGTGTATTGTTTTCGAATACCGATCGATTTATAAATTCAAAAAGTAAAAGAAACAATGAAACTTGATTTAAAGGCAATTTAAAGAAATTATGCTAAGAAATCTACATAAACTTTATCAATAGGTTCTGACAGCCGCCAATTTCTATATTGCATATCAGAATTGAGGTGAACGATTTAACGTTTGCTTTTTCGTTTACACGGATGCATTTTGACTTCCTTTAATTTCTCTCTCAATCCTATCACAATTCGTCTTCATGTTCATCGACTTAAATAGATCTAAAAAATTGCCTAATTGTGGGACCAAAAGTCTTGGTGAGACCAGATATCGATGTGCAGTTAATTTTTGGTTGTTGAGGAAGCAAGAGAACAGAATGCATTTTTAAAGCTTGATAAATGAACGTGTGATGCAGATACTTGAAGTAGCCCAACAAGGATGAAAATGGGACAAATGAAAATTCCAGTGAAGGATTAATACGAAATCAAACAATCTCTCTAGTTCCCAAGACAGACCAAAAGCAAACAGACCACAACTTTGGGCTGCAAAAGAAGACAAAACTGAAATTGCAAGCTCTCTGTAACCTTTTAAATTCAACCGACTTATAAGCCATTTGGGACAATCATTGTGGCCTTATTTGGGACAATCATTACGGCCTGATTTGGGACAATCATTGTGGCCTTATTTGGGACAATCATTATGGCCTGTCTTGGTTACATAGCTTGCAATTTTGTCTTTTTCTTCTTCAACTTAAGAAAGGTTTACATCGCTCGCACAAAAACACCATCTTTCAGAAAGTTGGTCTTTTTTAATCGGATGCATGATGGTTGTGAATCTAGACCCAAAAACGAGATAAAATAATCCAAAAAAAAGAAAGATTCAAGATGAAATTTATGTCAGACGGTGCGACCTCTTTTTTGGCGGGATTTTTATTTTAAACCGAGGCTAGAAGTTTTTTTCGTCAGGAAAACTTCAGAAAGGCAACTTCGTTGCCAGGGAAGACACTGCATATTGGAAGACACTGTGCATATCGTTTCAAATTTTCCCGCCTTAGTGTTAGTATATAAATGGAAGCTTGTTCTTTACACTTTTGACTTAATTAATACAGAAATTAAATATTAAAAACAGACTTGGGAATATGAAGAAAATGCAATGAAATGCAATAACTTGATTATGTTAATAAAGAACCCCATAAAACA